GGTCAGTGCCCTAAGTTTCACCTGAGACAAAGCAGTACTGTGAATTCAATTGATAAATTGACAATATAGTTTGGCAACGGCAGCATCAAATTCATGTTTTAAGAAGTCAGAAGGCCGGGCGTGGTGGCTCACCCTTGTAATCCCAGCACTTTGGGAGACCAACGTGGGTAGATCACCAGGTCAAGAGATGGAGATCATCCTGGCCAACACGGTGAAACTCTGCCTCTACTAAAAATACAAAAATTAGCTGGGCATGGTGATGCATGCCTGTAGTGCCAGCTACTCTGGAGGCTGAGGCAAGAGACTCGCTCGAACCTGGAAGTAAGCCAAGATTGCGCCACGTGCACTCCAGCCTGGTGACAGAGTGAAACTCTGTCTCAAAAAAAAAAAAAAAAGAAGTCAGAAAACGTGGCTCAGCGCACCCTCCTCTCCTGGGTCTCCCTGCTGAGCTTTTGACCTCTGCTTATACCAAGAGTGGGTAAATGGAGAAATGACATGGAAAAAAAAAAAAAAAAGGAAAAGAGCTGTCCACTTCTCAGTGTGCGTCTTTTCAATACAAAGCCACTTCCTTATTCTTGCTGGAGCAGCCAGGTGGGTCAGTGTGAACTGGGTGCCCGAGGGATGGGGCACTGGAGAAGACCACGTGGTAGAGCTGAGCAGACTGAGAAAAGTCACACTGAGAACACGGAAGAAAGATGGTAGCAAGACGCATGAAGGATGGTGTGTCTCCAGGGCACCTGGAGGGATGCTGCTGTGCATGCTGTCACACTTCTGACTAGGGGCCTGGCAGGTTCCCTGGGGGTGGTGGTACCCTTTGAAATAGGCCTTCAAGGATGTGGAGGACTCAACAGGCAGAGATGGGAGAGGCCTGGGACCAGGCAGAGGAGACAGCATGGGCAAACAGGAAAGGGAGATGGTGAGAATTGAGAGGGGCTGCAGAGGGAGCGGGAGTGGCAGGACAGAGGACTGGGAAACTGGGAGGGGTTGAGTGGTGAGGGCCATCTGCCCTGCCTCTAAGAACAGTCCCTGGCCCGCTGTGTGCCTTATCACGTAGCAGTTCCATCCTCCGCCTCCTACTTCCACCCTCCTCACTGGCCCCTTCCCTGTGTTCCAGGGTCACCCTGCCCATCCCAACCGCTGCACCTCTGTTCCAGCTGTTCCTTGCATCTGGAATGCCTCTTTCCCTCTTGCCATCTAGCTCTAGCCCCTTCTTCCAGGAGTCTCCCCTGATACGTCAGCCCTGCCTGAACCCAAGGCACTGTGGCATCATGGAAAGGATCAGACTTGTCACAGCTGCAGAGAGGTAGGCTCAAATCCCAGCTCTGCCGTATGATCTTGAGTCACTACCTTCTCTTATTAGTAACCATTAATAATATTTATTGGCTATGTGTTTGCCAAGTACCATGGATTACCTCATTTAACTTTCACCACAAGCTTATGAGGTAAGTACTGTTATCATTTCCACCTTACTACTGAGGAAACTGAAGCTCAGAGAAGGTAAGTAACTGACCCAAGGTCACACAGCTAGGGAGTGGCAGAGCTGGGACACCCGTCTGGTCTGTCAGGCTCCAACACCTCTGCTGCTAAACACCACAGCTCCCTCTGGACTGCTTCCTTAGAATGAGCATTTATTAGGCACCTCCTGTGTGCCGGCCGTTGTGCTAGGTGCAGGGATGCAGCAGGACACAGACAGACAAGGGCATGCTCTTGTGGAGGCCAAAGCTGGAGTGTCAGGAGGACAACAAGCCCCATGCTGCAGGGGCAAAGATGGGTGACTGATCCCTGCCAACTGTGGAGTATGGAACTCACACACGTCAGTAACTTCTTCTTCCTCCACAGCCAGGAGACCTGCGTTTCCATGTGGGCCAAGCTCTGCTATTGGACTGCTGAGTGGCCTTGAGCTGGCCACTTTACCTCTGAGCCCCAGTTTTCTTGACCATAACATGGGGTAGGAATAGCTACGGAAGTCTGAAAATTAAATGAAATTGGCCAGGCACAGTGGCTCACGCCTGTAATCCCAGCATTTTGGGAGGCCAAGGCAGGCGGATTGCAAGGTCATGAGTTTAAGACCAGCCTGACCAACATGGTGAAACCCCGTCTCTACTAAAAATACAAAAATTAGCTGGCTATGGTGGTGCACACCTGTAATCCCAGTTACTCAGGAGCCTGAGGCAGGAGAATCACTTGAACCCAGGAGGTGGAGGTTGCAATGAGCCAAGATCACACCACCACACTCCAACCTGGGCAACGGATCGAGACTCCATATCAGAAAAAAAAAGAAAGAAAATTAAATGAAATCATACATGGCAGTGCCAGGCACACAGCAGGCACTCAGGAGAAGGCAAATCCGTATCTCCTCACTTGCATCCACATCTGGGACCCACACAATCCAACAGGCTCATTATTTCCTGAGTCTTTAACAAGCACCAAGGTGAGAATGACACGGTGATCCCTCCAATGGCCTCCAGGCGGCAGGAAAGCTCCACACAGGGCTGTGATGGGCCACGGGGCAGCAACACTGGCTGGCCCACCTCCAGGCCCCACCCCACCCCTAAGTCACCCACCTCTGCCACCTGCACTGCCGCTCCCATACCAGCAACCCCAGTCCTCACTGTCGGGTGTTTGAGAAGGTAAGGCCTCTTAAGCCCCGCCTCACCTGAGTCGGGAGGGAGGAGCGGGGCCTCAAGGCCCCCTTTGGGTCATCCCTTTGGTGGTCCCCACACCCAGGCCTGGCGTATTTCACTGTCCATTCCCACTTGGTGTGGGAGCTGTCACAGGCTGAACTTCAGGGCCAGGTGGCCTGGGTTCCAGGAGGCCTCTCCTGCCCTTCCTGTGCAGTGAAGCAACTACCCAACAGATTAGGATCGAATCCCAGCTCTGCCCGCACTGACTGTGGGACCTCAGGCAGGTCACTTAACCTCTCAGCCTGTTACCTCATCTGTAAAGTGGGATAATCCCTACCTAGCCAAGCTGTTAGGAAGCTTGGATAAAATTGTACATATCAAGTACTTGTAACACAAGAGGAGAGAAACACGAAGGAGTACCAGCTGGTTTCACTAAAAGCATCATTCTGATCCAGAAATGCCTACTTCCCCTTTAAGGCAGCCCACATGCCACCTCCTCCTGGGAGCCTTCCTTCGTCTGCCTAGGCAGCCATGGCTTCCTCCTCCGGACTCCCGAAGCCCCGGAAAAGGCCTTTCTAGAATGGCTCTTTCACTCAGCGAATGTTTTAATGCCTTGTGTACGCATGACGCTGAATCTAGGTGCAGGACTTACAGCGATAGACAGCCACAGACCCTATCCTCATGGAGCTTCCATTCCAGGAGGGGAGGCAGGCAGGGAAGTTGTAAGTGCGTCATTTCATAGTGCTAAGACATCAGTAAAGTGAGGAAACGTGGTAGAGAAACTGAGATGGGAGAGGGGCTGGTTATGTGGGGTAGTCAGGGAAGGCCTCTCTGAGCAGACGACATTTAAGCTGAATCCTGGATAACAAATAGCAATGCTGCAAACATCTAGAACTGCCTATGAGGCAGAAAGGACAGCTAGTGCAAAGGCCCTGGGGCAGGGGGACAGGCATGACACACCTGGAACAGAATGATCCAGGTGCCTGGAACACAGTGAGCACTGAGCACCCTGGTCCCTGTCCCTAAGTCTCCACCTCTAGACGAACCCACTTGAGGAGAGAGATCTAAATGATTGAGCTGCAGCACACAAAGGCCCTGGGACTCAGCATGTCTTGCTGAAACTCTGTCCTGGCAATGACAGGAGTAAATCAGCTGGCCCTTCTGCAGACTTATGTACCTCTTGGTGGCTACTGCTGGATTCTCAGCCAGGTAAGGGATCCCTCCCTGAACCAACAACCCCAGGTCACAATCTTTGGCAGAAGAAAGCTGGAAGTGCCCAGAGAGAAAAATGACCTGCGAAAGGTTAGAGGGCAGCAGGCAGCAGACAGGGCTCTAGCCCAGTATCCTTTGCTCCTCCACCTCCCTGGCCCCGGCCCCATCCTGTGCATCCCTCTCCCTCCCTGAGGTTTGGTGTCAGGAGCCCTAAGGACCATGAGGCATCCAAATGGAGGACTGTGTTGGGGGCCTCCTCCCCTGCTATAGATCTAACACTTTGGGCCACCTAAGGGCAAGGATCCCCACAAGCTCCTTCCTTCCAAAGTCCAGCCTAAAGCCAGGCAACTTACTAAATGTGTGCCTGAATTTGTACCTGTGGCCTTGGATGTGGCATAAATTAGCTTGGAATGAAAGGCTAGGGGAGCTGGGCATAGTCCTGGCTCATACCCCATAGTCCTCCCTGTAGTCCCGGCTACTCGGGAGGCTGAGGCAGGAGGTTCGCTTGAGCCCGAGAGCCTGAGTCCAGCCTGGGCAACATAACAAGACCCACCTCTAAAATAAGGGTAAAGAGCCAGGCGCGGTGGCTCATGCTTGTAATCCCAGCACTTTGGGAGGCTGAGGTGGGCAGATCACCTGAGGTCGGGAGTTCAAGACCAGCCTGACCAACATGAAGAAACCCCATCTCTACTAAAAATACAAAATTAGCCAGGACTGGTGGCACATGCCTATAGTCCCAGCTCCTTGGGAGGCTGAGGCAGGAGAATCACTTGAACCCGGGAGGGGGGGGTTGCAATGAGCCAAGATAGCACCATTGCACTCCAGCCTGGGCAATAAGAGCAAAACGTCATCTCAAGAAAAAAGAAAAAAATGGTTAAAGAAATAAAGAAATAAAAAACCCCTTCGGGTTGAAGACTGGCTCCAGCTCCATTGCTCTCATTCAGGCCCTGTAGCCACCTCCCCAGGGCTGCCAGAGCCAGAACCATTTCCCAGATCAGCATGGAGTGCACCTGCCTCTTGGCACTGTCTGCACAGTGATCTGACAGCATTCCAGGGCCTGATGTGAACCATCAGTATCGAGCCTGCCTTAACAGGAGACCTTGTCCCCTGGGAAGAATGGTGTGAGAATCTCCTGATCCAATCGTCTTCCATGCTCCAACAAAATTTCATTGGAAAAGTTTTATTGAAAAAAAAAATTGTACAAATAAGTTCTTGGTTTGATAGCAACAAAGGCTCATGTTCCCCCTTCCCTCCCCATCTTTGAAGAACTAAAAAAGGAAGAAACAAAAACAAAAAGTTCATCCCCACGACGCCGGACACGATGCTTCTTGACCAGAGTCTGCCCAGAAGCCCCTCCTGTGAGCTCTTTCTCGATCCGCCTCACTGGGGCCAGGTCATTCTGGGGGTGTCTGGTCCCAGGGGCTGCAGCACCTAGTTTTGTAGTTGGGAGAGGTTGGGATAGAGCTGGGGAGGTGGCTGAGGTCTTTTAGAGTCAGGAGAAGAGGGCTGGCTGACCCACCTAGCTCAATTTGGTCTCACAGGTGAGAAGGTACTTGGCTATAAATATGAACACTGATTGAGGCAGGCTTGATCTGGGACTCTGGGGGCAGGCAGGATGACTAAGGCCCAGGTCCCACAGGATGTGGAGTTTCTGGTCTCAGCATCATGGTATCTGGGGCGCATGTCCAAGCAGAGTGACTTCTAGCTGGGAAGGTCCGCTCAGGCACACGGGAACCCTGGTCTGTTTTTCCACCCCCACCCTATGGAGTATCCAAGGCTGGTACCTCACCTCCCCCCAACCCCAATAGCACCCATGTGTCTCAGGAGCCTTCGGCTGCTTCCTGCCATCCTGTGTGCACCCTGAGGCCCTACAACTCGTCTCGCATCTTGTCACCCTTAGGCCGGACCAGGCGCCCAATGAACAGCAGGGAGCCGCTCTGGGTGTCCCGCACCAGGAAGATGAAGGGGTGGTCGGCGTAGAACAGCTTGGGGTTACGCAGCTCCTCGCGCCCGTAGATGTCTTGGTCAAAGGGATTGCCATCTGTGTCCAACTCAAAGGCGGTGGCGTGGAACACGCTGGCCAGGTACAGGTCCTTCTTGCCTGACATGCGCGACAAGTCTGCCTTGTTCTTGTCGATGGCCTCGGTCAGGCCCAGCCCAGCCAGGTGTTTCTGTGGGAACAGGGGGGTGTGCTGGGTGAGGCCATGGCATACCAGGCTCCTCCACCCTCACACCCTCCACCCCATACCACCCTGACTGCTTCTCAGAGAGGAGAGCACCCCTCCTTGGCCACCTTCTGTGTGCCACGCATGGTGCTGGGCGCTTCAAACCATGCTTTCTCAGTTTTCACTGCAACCCTACAAGGGCTTCTAATCGCCACTTCACAGAAGAGGAAGCTGAGACTCAGAAAACCAGTTGAATCCTGGATGACAGGAGTGGGACAACAGCCACTGGAGGAGGGGCTGGGGAAGGATCGGGACCAGGCCAGGGAGGGAGACAGTGACCCCTCTCCAGGAACTCCCAGTGTCTACAGCACAGAGAATGTATCCCTGGCACTGCCCAGCCGCAGTGCAGGGACAGGCAGCATGGCACCGCCCAGGCGCTTATCTGGAATGCCCACGTCCTGACCCCAGCCCAGATCCCCTGAGTCAGAATCTCTGGGAATGGGCACGGATTCCTTCTCACAGACTCCCCAGGTGCTTTCTTAGCATACTCAAGTTTGAGAAATACTAATCAAGGACAGCTATGTCCACATCACTCTGGGGCTTAAAACCTTTCCAGAGTGACAGGATGCCTGGAATTTACTTCAAAATAATCGGATGCAGAGGGGAACTGGTGGGTAGAGATGGATCACTATTGGACATGAGCTGATAATACTTGAAGCTGGGTGACAGACACTTGAGGGTTATTATACTAATCTACTTTTAGTTTATGTTTCCAATGTTCCATGGTAAAGTTAAAACACACACACACCTTTCCACGGCTCTGCACAGCTCTTGGAAGCCAACCATAAGCTCTTTCACATATGACCTCTGTCTACCTGGCAGCCTCCAGCCACATCCCTTGGCATGCCCACCCCACTCTCCAGACGGCCTCAGTGAGCAACTTATATCCTGGATGGCCATCCTGTCTCCCATTAGGGCTCTTTAGAAACCACTTCTTGGCTAGGCGTGGTGGCCTACGCCTATAATCCCAGCACTTTGGGAGGCCAAGGTGGGGGAATCACAAGGTCAGGAGTTCGAGACCAGCCTGGCCAACCTGGTGAAACCCTGTCTCTACCAAAAATACAAAAAATTAGTTGGGCATAGTGGCGGGCACCTGTAGTCCCAGCTACTCGGGAGGCTGAGGCAAAAGAATCGCTTGAACCCGGGAGGCGGAGGTTGCTGTGAGCCAAGATCATGCCATTGCACTCCAGCCTGTGTTACAGAGTGAGACTCCATCTCAAAAAAAAAAAAAAAAGAAAGAAAGAAACCACTTCTTTCAGGAAGCCTTCCCAAGCCCACAAGATGAGTGGCACCTCACTGGGCCTTCCTGTTACCAGTCTGGTGCTGCCTGTCTCTCCCACGTGACACTTGGCTTGGAGCTCCCTGAGGGCAGGGCCCATGTCCAGGGCTCTCCCTGGCTCTCGGCTGCAGGCTGAGTGAATGGCAGCGTCCAGGGCCCAGGATTCTGCAGGATAACCTCCACCTCCCTGGCATGGCCTGAGGTCCTAAACCCAGGGGGTCCTGAGACAGGCTTTCAAGGTCGGCCCAGCTCTTCCCACCCCGACGACCTTGCACAGGTCATCTGCCTCGAATTTCCCAACTCAATCTACCACATGGACTGGGGAGTGCTGTCTCCACTGGGGGTTCCAGGAAGACACCAGAGGAACAAGGGGAGAAGGGGATGGGACGACAGCCACCGGAGAAGGGGCTGGGGAAGGATAAGGGCCAGGCCCAGGAGGGAGACAGTGACCCCTCCCAGTGTCACAGGAACTCCCAGTGTCTACAGCACAGACCAGTACAAGCTCCATTTGTCCCTGGTTCGGTGCCTAAGTCCAATTTCATCTCCAGCTTTCTCTCTCCAAGCTCTCCAGGCAGCAAGTCTGAATCGATTCTGCCAGTGAGAACCATTTGTGGCATCCAAGGAGAGAATAACACAAAAGTTTCCTGTTTTGAGTAAGTCAAAAATCTCTCTCCTGACTGACAAAAAAGGCCACTATTATGTTTTTACCTTGAGGTCTAATTGCAACTCCGCCACTTATGGGCCGGGGGAACCTTAGGGAGGTACTTACTGTTTCTCTGTGAGCCTCTGCCTACTACCCAGGGTAGTTTCGAGGGAGAATCTTGAGCATGTGTGTTAAGTTTCTGGCCACCTCAGAAGACCCATAGCTACCAGTCTTATTATTGCATGGTAGATAATCCTCCGGCTTGAGCAGCCTGTAACTGGGGGCACTTCAGGCCTCAGAGGCAGTGCAGTGACCGAGGGTTAGCTCTGGTGCAAGATGCCTGAATTACTAGCTGTGTAACTTTGCACAGGTTACTTAACCTTTCTGAGCCTCAGTTTCCTCATCTCTAAGATGAAATTTATAGTCCCATCTAATAAAGTTGTTCTGAGGATTAAAATAATTTAATACATATAAATTGCTTAGAAGAACGCCTAGCATACAGGAAGTGTTCTATTTCACTGCTGGTATTATCATCTTCCCAAGAGCAGGGCCTACACCTCCTGCCCCAGTTTATCCCATCACAGAGACCAGCATTGCCTGGACATCCAGGGGGGCTCGGGACAGACCTGCTGAATTGGTGAGTGGGATCTCCCCCGGCTCCAAGCCCTGCAGGCCCCAGGGCTGGACCACCCCTTACCTGCAGGTCATGGGTCACCTCCACCACACCCTTGGGCAGGGAGATGGCGACAGCCTTCTTCTGCATCTTCCCCATCCAGATCTTCAGCTGTTCTTTGGTTAGCAGCTTTTCAAGGCGCTCGAGGGGCTCCACGTGGTGGGGCATGAGGATGATGAGGCTGGAGAGCTTGTGGGCCAGGGGCATCTCCACGATTTGCAGCTTTTCCTTCTCGTCATCATAGTAGTTGTAGAGCCCTGGGAAAGGAGCGGAGAGGACAATGGGCACCCTGTGTACAGGGGTGAGTCAGACCCCAAGTACCCTTGGACCCCCACCCACCTTGACACCCTGCTCCTCCCAGCACCTACCTGTCCGGTGCATCATCATGACACCCACAGTATAGGAACGAGTCACCATGAAGCCACGGTTGTCCACCATCTTGTGATGGAATTTCTCATCCCAGTGTGCTGTAGTTGGGGCAGAACACAGGGTCAGAGACACATGGCCGCCCCCAGACACAATCACAGCCCATAGCCACCCCAGCTGCAGACCCTTGATTTATCCCTGCCACAGGTCTTTGCTCCATTCTTTTGGGCCCAGCTGTAGCCCCCGTCCCCCTCAGTACCTAGCCCACAGAGTCCACATTCCCAGCTTTGGAAAGGATCTTGGCCCCAGGACATGCCATCTGAGGATGTGGCTCCCTACAGTCACTGCCTGGCTGCTCCCACATGGCAGAGAATTAATTCCACCCTAGCTCAGTCACCTCTATGGCCACCCCCAGCTCTGGCAATCGTCAGATATTTTGGAAACATGCTCTGAACTGGGCTTTCTTCCCTGCCTGGTACCTGAGGGACAGTTGTGCCCTGGGCAGAAAGTGCCCCAGGACTACCCATCATTTTTCTTTTCTTTTTTTTTTGGGGGGGGGGGACAAGGTCCCACTCCATCCTCCAGCTGGAGTGCAGTGGTGCAATCCTGACGCACTGCAGCCTTGAATTACCAGGCTCCAGCGATTCTCCTACCTCAGCCTCCAGAGCAGCTGGGACTACCAGCATGTGCCCCATACCTGGCTAATTTTTTGTAGAGACGGGATTTCACTATCTTACCCAGGCAGGCCTCAAATTCCTGCACTCCTGTGATTCACCCTCCCTGGCCTCCCAAAGTGCTAGGATTACAAGTGTGAGCCACTTCATTTTTCAGCCCATTCTTCATTTTTTTTCTGCAAGTTCTGTCTCCATGACCAGAAAATAACAACAAAAAAGGCCTGAGAGTGGCCTGAATGCTGCCCTTGCTCATAGCCAGATCTGTGTTCCAGTCCAAGCTCAGCCACTGACTCTGGGAGACCTCACCTCTCCTAGTTTGGTCTCATTTGTAAAACCAGGGTTACTTCATCCTCAAATAAAACTGTGAAAATAGTACTGTCTGTCTATGTAGGTACTCAAAAATATTGATTAACCCCATATCTAGTCTTCAACTGAAGACAGAGCCATCTGGGCCTGAGGCCTGGCTCTGCTTCCTCCTCTCTGAGCCTCAGTTTCCTCACTGCGAAATGAAGGTAATACTGCCTGTCCCCAAGGTTGCTTTAACGATTCTGGGTCTTGGCTGGGCACAGTGGCTCACAGCTGTAATTCCAGCACTTTGGGAGGCCAAGGCCGGCAGATCACTTGAGACCAGGAGTTTGAGAACAGCCTGGGCAAGATGGCAAAACTCTGTCTCCACTAAAAATACAAAAATTAGCTGGGCATGGTGGTAGGCACCTATAATACTCAGGAAGCTGAGGCAGGAGAATTGCTTGAACTCGGGAGTCCAAAGCTGCAGTGGGCCATTATTGTGCCACTGCACTCCAGCCTAGGGGACAGAGCAGCTCCATCTCAAATACAAATAATTTTTTTAAAAAGGATTCAAGTTCTTTCTCTAGCTCACTACTGAGGCGAAATGGGTTACAAAATTTTATTCATTCCAAAATATACAAGGAGGAGCACTTGGACAAATTTTTGGTCTGAATACATTCCATGGAGTCCTTCTGGGGTCTCAGCTTCCTGAATTATTCCTTTAGAATAGACTCTGCTACCTGTCTCTGAATCTAGTTTCCAGTCTGTACCAACAGCTGTGTGACAGTCCTACTCCCTGGGTCGTTAACAGCATAAATGAGAGGCAGTGAAGGATGGAGTGCACGGATTGCTGTCCTAAGTCTTGTATGGGGGTCTTGAGAGGAAAAGGGGGAGGAGGACCCCTGAGCTCGCCCACGACTCACGCTTGAAGAACATGGCGTTGACGAGCAGGGCGCCGTCCGTGCGCTCCACGTCCTTGGTGACCTCGGGCAGCTTGCCGTCGGTGGTCTGCGCGGCCCACTCGTTGATGGACTGCAGCGCGCTGCGCTTGTCGCGGAAGTTGATCTTGGAGTGCTCGCAGTTGTAGTGCTGCTTGCTGCTGCGCACAAAGTCATCAGCGAAGCTCACTGAGCTGGGTCCGTACAGGCGGCTGCCCAGCTTCCAGGTCACGTTGCGCGCCGTGGAGTTGCTGAGTGAGCGCAGCAGCTCGCCCAGGCCGGCGTGCACCTCCTCATCGCGCAGCTGCTCAGCACTCAGCACTGCCTTGGCCTGCGACGCCGTGGTTGCCTTGCCACCCAGCGACACGAGCCCCAGCGACGATGCCACCACCACGGGCGACACCAGGATGTTCTCTACCGCCTGGTCCTTGGCCATGGCCTGGTACAGGCTGAAGGCCAGGCCGGCGCTGCGCTCAGCCAGCGTGGCCGCCTTGGGGCTCAGCTTCTCCGTGGTGCCAGGAGCTGCTGCGGCTGCAGGTTTCTTCACCTCGGCTGCCAGGGCCACCGCCAAGAAGCAAAAAACGCTGAGGAGCAGGAGGGAGCGCATAGCTGGGAGGTGGTTTGCGTGCACCAAGGTGAACCTGTGAGGGCTGCACAGACAGGGTGGCCTTGAAGCCCATGGCCTTCCTCCCCAGCAACCACCCCCAGCCCTCTGGCTGCCACAAATACCCTGGAGATGGGGACAAAAGAGCCCACAGTCCAGTAATCCCATACCTCACTCCGGGCTGCCAGCCTCTCAGGGCTGCCAGCCTCTCAGAGACCTCTGTGACGTCCCCACCCAAAGCAGGGCTCCCAGCCAGTGACCACCAGACCACCTTATCGATTTCCTGCATCAGCCAGCCAACATTTCCACTTGTTTGTGTGTTTATTACATATCTATTTCTGCCCCTAAGTAGGCTGTGGCCTCCAGAAGGACAGAAAACCTAGCCAATCTGATTGCCACTATATCCCCCGTACCTAGCACACAGTAGCCTCAGCTCTTCCTGAATGAAGCTAAAACAGGGTCACTTGGCCAGACCTGGGGTCCTCATCAGGTTAGCCCTGATCTCACATGACCCTAGGGGCCCTTTTCCAGTGAGAAAAAGCAGCAGCTAGGGCTGAGAGTCTGCAGGAAGCCCAGATGCCTGGGCAAGGAATGAGGGACAGAGCTGGAGGGCTGTCCCGCCCCCTGCCTTTCATTCTGTTCTGGGATGTTAATGAGTCACCGGTTGGTTCACTCATTAAACGGAGAGCTCAGACGCTCTGCTCTGCTGCCCCAAGGGTAACCTTGAGAAGGCGTGTGTCCTGTGTCCACTCAGCCTCAGTCTCCCTTTTCCAAGCTGAAGGGTCCAGGTCTCCATGCCCAAGCCCTCTATCTGGGCAGGAACCTTGGCAATGCCCATCTGCCCACAGTGCCCCAAGTGCAGATGGGAAATCCCCAGGACGAAAGCTCCTGGGAAACTGACTCCTCTGAAGACTCGGTGGGGGTAGAGAGGAGACTTCCTGACATAGCACAAGGACAGGATACTAGGGAAGGGGGTGAGTCACACACAGCTCAATAGAGCAATGACCCCCTCCCCCATCACCAGAAGCTGGCCAGATGTGCACTCAGCCTCCAAGGACGCTGAAGCCACGTCAGACTCCAGTCTGCTGTCCCATCTGACAGCCACAGCCACACAGGCCATCTGCTCCACAGAGTCAGGGTGGCCCTCAGGCCTTCTCCCCAAGCCCCAGCAGTAGCAGTGGCCCCAGGACAAGCCCCAGTCCCCTCTCTGGGGCCTCCAATTGGGACAGTCTCTGTTCCTGGGATACTTCCACACTCCTTCTCTCGCTTCAGGCCATTATGCCCCTCTACGTCAATGCACAGGAGAGATGACAGGGCAAAGGGAAGGCTGGAAGGACCCCTGGTGGAGGCTGCGATCCCACTGCTCTGACGAATTCTGACTTGTGGTCATTCTTGAAGAAGACCCGAGCATTTGAGATCCTGGTGGAAGATCCTCAGGACTCTGGCTACACCGGATTTCTGCGAAGATTCCGCTGTTGCCATCCCAAAAACCTGAAAAGGTCCCCCATCTCCCGGGACTGCCACCCTCCTCAGAGCTTTGAAGATGCAGCACAAAAGAAGCAAAGGACCCACTGGTGGGGAAAGGAGGGAAGGCCCGGAGATCTGCAAATGCCTGGAAGGAAGTGGGAAATCTGAGTCTCAACCTAAAATGAAGGGAGGATCTTGGGGCCTAGAATACACCCCAGGAAACCTTTCTCCCGGCCCTGGCTCCTTCCCTGCCAGAACTGGAGCCTCAAAGGACAGTGCAACCATATAATTTATTGCACAAACAAAGACACTTAATGAGAGTAAAATGGGGACTACTAATTATTCTGCCAGGACAATAGGCATATGGCCACCCTATTCAAAAGCCACCTCTGATGCAGACCAGTGATGCTGGAGCTCAGACGACAGCACAGGCCGTCAGCCTCCCCTCTCCCCGCACCAGGAGGCAGCTGAAGAGCCCACTCCCAGCCATGCCACGTGGCAGGTACCATCTTGACAGCCCCCACCCCCACCAGCCAGAACCTCAAAGGACTGGGAGGGGCTTCCAAGCAAGCTCCAAATAACTGGTTTGGGATTCTTCAGGCAGCCCGCTAGGCTAGGCCCGTAGCAGCTTAGCGCCAGCTTCTGGTGGTGACGTGGCAGGCAGGAGGCTGAACTATCTCCACCGGCCGGCAGAGCGGGGCTTCCAGCCTGGGAAGCAGGCCTGGTTCAGGTCCCAGGGGGTGCCACGCATTAGCCAGGGAACTCCAGGAGCCTTCTTTGGCCTTAGTTCCTTTCCCATCTGCACATGGATCCCTGAAGGGAGATGCCCGCTGGGGAGAAGGGTGGCCCGGTTAAACCCAGCAGCAGGAATGGAGGAAGGCAAGTTACTGCAAGCAGGCCAGCCTCCCACAGCCCAGCCCATCTTGCCACAGAGAAATGCCAGCCCTCGGGCCAACATTAGCTGAGTCCCACAAAGAAAATACAAGATTGCCTAGCCAGGGCGGTGCCCGCAGCTAGCCAAACTGAGCGGGGTCTGGAAGGGCAGGGGAGGAGATGACGGGGGCCATCAGAGGGTCCCAAACACTTGAGGGGTCTAAAGTACCTGGAAACTGCCTCAGAGGGAGGTCAATGCCTGCCTTTTTCATTCTGAAAAAAAACAGAAGAGTGAGGAGGATGGGAGCCGGCAGAGGAGAGGTGGTGAGGAGGCCCCTGATGCAGAGGGAACAACCAGTTCCCGAGGGACCTTGGAGATCGATCACCTCACTGTTCAATGGGAGAAAGTGAGGCCAGGGCAGGGGCCACCCCAGGTCCCTCGGGATAAACAGGGGTCTGCCTTCCTAGCACAGGGCTCCCTCCTCTCAGAAGCACACGGAGGCCCTCCTGAGGGCTGCATCGGCGTCCTGTTACACAGTCAGTACAAAAAAGTCTCTGCTGGGAATCCCGGTGACAGAAGAGACAAAGGAGGGGGACAGGAAGGGGGATGGGTACATAAACCATCTAAAGGCAGGAGGGTGTGGCCCCGACTAGAATTCCATTGAACCAAAGCCCCCTCATTTTCCCCCAGGCCTCCATCCCGGCCCAGCAGCCCAGAGGGACCAGCCGGAAAGCAGGAAGAGGAGGGGCTGGGACTCTGTGCCAGTCTGGAAGCGCATTCATTCTCCTTCCTCGTCTCCAGCCACCTCAGGAATGTCTCTAAGCTGGGGGCAGGGAACCCCAGCCTGTGGAAGTGAGATCCTGCAGTTCAAACCGTTCGGTTACTCCAAGAACCCGGTGGCAGTGGGCAGGAAAGACTCAAATCCTCCTAGTCAGCCCCTTAATCCCCAGAGCTGAGCAGACCCTAACGACCCCCACTCCCTTTTTCCGAGGGGAGGGAACCTCGCTGGCCAAGTCTTTCCTTTGGCTGCCATCATCTAGGCTGCAAGGTGCTGATCAGAAATTGAGCCAGTTGCCCACTTCTATCCGAGCACATGGACCCCGAGAGTCAAGACGATTTCACCTCTTTTCCCACCACCCTGCTACCTTCAGGAGGCTGAGATGCCCTCAGCAAGCCTGTGAGGAGCCTGGGCCACTAATCACTGCTGCCCCTGGGTCTCAACCCCAGAAGGGAAGGGACCTGGAACTGCAAGGCCGGCCTGTCCTCCCTGTCCCTGCTGGAAGCGGCACCAGACTCCATCTCCTTCCTCCTGCGTTTGTTTCCGAAGAGCTGTGCTCTCAGCCCCCAGCCCCCTTTACACCTACTAAAGGTCTCTGCCACCATGAACTTCTAAGGGTCCCTGCGCTCTTCCCCAATCCTCCGAGTGCAGGGGCTCCCACGCTGGCTCGGATCTCTGCCCTAGCCCTCAGCTGGCTCCACCACCAGCTAGCCCTGGGCTCCCGATTCCAAACCCTCCAGCGGCCCCCAAAGTGCCGGGAACCCCAGTTTGCAGGGTCTGGCTTAGCCCCCAACCCCTCGCAGGGTCCCCTCGCCCCTCTTACTCCCTTGCGCACCCCCAGATTGCTCGGCGCTCCCGCAGGCCGCACGCGGCCGTCCCCCGCCCCTCACCTGGGTCGGGCTGGGCGGGCGCCGGGACTGGAGTCTCGCTCCCGAGCCGCGACACGATTCTACTCTTCGCCCACTCCCCCGCTCCCGGTATCTATATATGGCAGTCCCCACCCCCTCCGGCCTGTCCCGAGAAACTTCTGGAAAGTTGGAAACGCTTCCGGAGGGCGCCCCAGCTCCGTCAAAAAAGGCCAAAGACCTCCCCCAAACCTCCCCGGCCCCCGGCCCCTCCCTCTGCCGGCGCCTCTCGGCCCCTGGGTCCTACTGCCCCCCTCGGCGGCCCGCGCTGCGGGGCCCCGGGAGTCCCCAGCGGGACCAGCGTGTCCTTCGGAGTGCGAGTCTCCTCCCACCCCCCAGGCTCTCTGCACGAGCCAGCCCACTCCTGATCGCACATTCCTTCAGACGCCCCTTTCCCTGCAGGGACTTTGCCCAGAGCAAAGCCATCGCCCTTTCTCCCCACTCTCCCCGATTTTCAAGGTGAAACATAATTGAATTCGGGGTGCACCCTTCTCCCTCTCAGGGGCGATTGTCAGGCTTCGGAAGGCAGCCCCCTTTCTCCATGCTTGTTCATCCAAAAAACGTCAACCTCAGAGATGGCCAGAGGGAGAGGGAGCAGACCAGCCCGGTACCTGTCCGGCACTGGGAAAGTTCAGGTCTTGGAGTAATAGAGGCAGAGAAGCCTAGGGAACGTCAGGTGGTCTGGCTGGGTTTCAGGAAGAAAAACCTGGCTCCACTGAGCAAGGTGCTGTGTGACCCTAAGCAGGTTACTTTCCCTTTCTGGGCCTCTGTTCCCTTGGCTGTGAAATGTGGTGCTAAGTCATCCTTTGCTATCCCCACCCACCTCCCCACCTCTTTCTCAATCACTGTCATCTTGGCCCTTTCCCTATTGCAACCCCTCCCACAGGCCTCAGGTCTCACTGTCAATTCCTACCCCACCCTTGCAAACTGATAGCTGCTTGACCTCTGAGTTAAGCTAGGGTATTCGTTACTGTTCTGGGTGCTGAGGACTCAGCTGAGAGCTGAACGAGTCCTCGCCCCGTGCGATGTCCATCTGAGGGGTATGTGTGGGTTAGCAGGGAACTCAGTGAGGCAGATTATTTAGGACCCCCCCCCCATGCCCAGTCCTCTTTAGTAGTTTAATGATAGATCTTGGATGGAGACAGTATGGAGAGGAAGGGACAGGATAGGGACTCTTCATTCATTCATTCATTCAACAAACTGTGTGGAGCATCTTCTTTCTTCTAGGTGCATCCCTGGATCCTGGAGAGGAAAAAAATCCCAGCACCCAGCAAATGAGTCAGTCACCTGGGTCCCTGCCCTCCATTAGTGGCTGTGGGGAAGCCTGGTGGGTGTGACAAACCTCTCTGTCTGGGTAGGCTGCTCCTGCTCAGAGTCTTTTGAGTACAAGAACTGTGGGAAATCTCAGATCCCAAAAGCTTCAGACTCTGTGATTCAAGGTAAAAGAATCAGAGATTACTTCCACTGAAAGCCCCCATGGAGTCTTTGAATCCAGCTAAGGATTCTTAACATGTTAAAATCTCAAGAGTTGAAGGATTATGGAATAAATGTATTAAAGATTCTGAGCTGCAAGGCATCTCAGAGGTCAAAGACTCCTGTCTGCAACCCCAGGCAGAAGCCCTTTCTTCAGTATCCCAAAATGGCAAGCACCCAAGCACCTCTAAGAAGAGAGAGCTTACCTCCTTAAGAGGCAGGCCCTCAGTCTTTTTCAGGACAGGTCTGATTATTAACAAAACCTCCCAGCCTTGGCATGGTGTCCATCTCTTTGAGGTGGCTGTCATGGTTCTCATGTTCCTCCTGCCTCAACTATATATTGCTTTTAAAGATAAATCCTAGGCCAGGCACAGTGGCTCATGCCTGTAATCCCAGCACTTTGGGAGGCCGAGGAGGGTGGATCACCTGAGGTCAGGAGTTTAAGACCAGCCTGGCCAAAATGGTGAAATACCATCTCTAATAAAAATATGAAAACTAACCAGGTGTGGTGGTATGTGCCTGTAATCCCAGCTACTTAGGAGGCTGCAGCGACAGAATCACTTGAACCTGGGAGGTGGTGATTGCAGTGAGCTGAGATCATGCCACGGCACTCCAGCGTGGGTGACAGCGAGAGACTCCATCTCAAAAAAAAAAAAAAAAAAAAAAAAAGGCCAGGCACAGTAGCCATGCCTGTAATCCCAGTACTTTGGAAGGCCAAAGAGGGCGGATCACCTAAGGTCAGGAGTTCAAGACCAGCCTGACCAACATGGAGAAACCACGTCTCTACTAAAAATACAAAAAATTTGCCAGATGTGATGGCGCATGCCTGTAGTCCCAGCTACTTGGGAGGCTGAGGCAGGAGAATGACTTGAACCTGGGAGGTGGAGGTTGCTGTGAGCCGAGATCGTGCCATTGCACTCCAGCCTGGGAAACAAGAGGGAAACTCCGTCTCAAAAAAAAGAAACAGAAAAAGAAAAGATAAATCCTTGTTTATCCAAGGAGGCCTCCTGGGTCCCAGGCCAGACCCCACTCTCGGCTCCCCCACCCCCACATTGGCCCTTAGGCTTCCCTGTGACTTGGTCAGTGAGCTGAGAGCAGGGCAGAAACAAAGAGTGCCCATCAGTGCTGGCAGAATGGAGAGGGTGGCCTGGGCTTGCCGCAGGTTCAGATGTCAAAATCCCAATGAGACATCCTTCCTCTGCGTTCTTAGGTCTCTTAGCTGTCTTAGGCCTCACCAACACCTGAGGGGGAGGCTGAGAGTGCTGTGACGGTCCCCTTTTGCTGAGGGATAAACAGAGGCTCATGCTGTTAGACAGACCCAGAATCATGGGAGGTCACAGGAGAGCGAGTGGACCTGCCTTTACAGACAGGGGAGCTGAGGCCTAGGGAGCGCTGGGTCTGAAGACCCTTGGCTGGACTTCCTGACTCCCACTAACCTCCTCTGTGGCCTATCCTGCACATTACCTCTGTTATCACCCTGTATTGTCAGTGAATGTCACTGGAGACTGGAAGGGCAGGGCCTTTTCCTTGTCACTCTAAGTCCCCAGCTCCCAGCAAGGGGACAGTATGGAAGAGGCACCGGGTAAGCATGGCCAGCCAGGAGATGAGTGGTGGCTGCCTGAGTCTGCTGTGCCCCTAGCACGGCCTCACTGAGGAAGGAAAGGCGATGGCTCCTTTAAATTTCCATGATCAGCTCACACACACACAAAAGTCAAGAGCCTTTGCCACAATATTCTTAGCTCTGAGCCCAGCCCAGACTGACTATGGCCCTTCCCCCACATTCCAGGCAGAGCTTTCTGGAAAAAGCGCTCTTTTAGAGGGTGGGGGAGAAGACTCTGATAAGCAGGTCTCGAGTATTTCACCTCTGGAGTCCTCCAGTGCCTTGCTTCCCTGAAGGAAGTGGCTCTGCTGCCCTGCACATGGAGGCCGGCTGGAAATCCTCCGGGTCCCTACGTCCCAAAAGGTGTGGGCAGCAGGAAGTAGAAAACTATCAAGTTCAACTGCATCCACCCTATACAGAGAGGAAAACGGAGGCCCAGAGAAGGCAGGAATTTACCCAAGGTCACACAGCAAATCAGAGGTGGAGCTGGGCTGGACCCTGGACTCCCAGCCCTCTTTCCCTCACAGCACCTTCTAATGACTGGGGCGGGGTGGGGAGGAGATGTGGACCCAGTTCTGCCAGGTACTGTAGAAACAGCTTTCTTTGGCCCTAGGGGCTAGATTCATTCAGTCTTCACCCCATAGAATCCTAGGACAAAAACTAGCATGTCACTTAACTGTGCAACACAGTCACATTTATTATCATATTCAATACTTTCAGGTAAGGAAGAATGTTCCTGTTTTCGGCAGGAAGAAACTGAGGTTTAGGGAGTCTACGCCGCATGGTCAGGGCACACAGCAAGCCAGAGTCAGAGCTGGGTTTCGAATCAGGTCTGCTTATGGCACATCCATGGGAAGGCAGGGAGTGGACGAGAAGGAAGTGACATTTATGGGGCATTTTGCCACTCCCAGGCCCTGTGCTGGGCACCGTCAACAGTGTCTCGCTTTTAATTTTAGAATGTTAATAGGAAGAAAGTTTAATCCCCTTCTTTTTACATTGGGATAAAATTGGAGCCCAGAAAGCTCCAGCAGCCAGTCCAGGGTCTGCCCCTCCCTTGGGGAGCCAGGGCCGCTGTAGACAGCTCTTCTGTGGGATGCTGTCCAGGAGCCAAGAATGTACTCTCAGCCCAAGGCATGAGTCAGGAAAACACGATTTCTGTAATCTCGGATTCTCTCTCTTGGAGCATAGGGCCTTCCATCCAAAAAGGGCTGTCCTGCAGGCTGCCACGCTGGAGGGTGGGCATTCAGTCAGTGTGGGGGTGGGTGAGCACATGATTCCTCCCCTCCTCCTCCCAGAGCAGGCCCGCCCCCATCCCTCTGCAATCTTAGTGCTGAGCAAAGCCGCATAGGAACTTCAGCGCCTTCACCTACATGCCTGACATAGTACCCAGGAGACACAAGCCCACTGACATGCTGTATACACAGACGTGTGTGCACCCACCCACGCGGGGCACACACATGGCACCCAAGCAGCCCTTCACACAATCCATGTATGAATGTGTCTGCTGTAACTCCAGCAGCCCAAATAAACTCCACCCCCTGCCTACAGAAGCGATTGCTAAGTATTGACATATACATAGGCTCAGGTTCCCCCCCCCCGCCCCACCCCTGCTCCCAGCCTTCCTCTCTCAGGCCTCCTCTGGCAACCCATGGAACCAGCTCCAGTGTCTGCAAGGCCAGGCCTGAAGGGCTGGTGGGATGGAGGACATGTGTTACCTTCATCCCTGCCTTTCTTTTCTCTTCTTATTCTCCTCTCCCTTAGGTGCTGCTGAGCTTCTAATAATAGTGATGCCCAGTTGGGCTACAGGGCTGTCCTCCCTTGTCTTAGCATCCCTGACACTCAGAAAAAGGACTCCTGCCAGGTGCAGTGACTCATGCTTGTAATTCCAGCACTTTGGGAGGCTGAAGTGGATCGATCACTTGAGGTCAGGAGTTCGAGACCAACCTGGCCAACATAGTGAAACTCAAAATACAAAAATTAGCCAGGCATGATGGCGGGTGCCTGTAATCCCAGCTACTCAGGAGGCTGAGGCAGGAGAATCACTTGAACCCGGGAGGTGGAGGTTGCAGTAAGCCAAGACTGTATCACTACACTCCAGCCTGGGCAACAGAGT